TGTAATGCCTTTGCGAACTAACCACTTCAGTTATTTGCCATATTTTTTGATCTTGAGAAGGCATTTGACACAACTTGGAGGTATAATATTTTAGCCCAAGCCCACTCCTTAGGCCTTCGAGGCAATCTAACCATCCTTCCTTAAGAACTTTTTAACTGACAGGCATTTCCGTGTTCGGGTTAATAATGTGCTCTCCCCCGGACTTTATCCAAGCTGAAGGTGTCCCCCAGGGATGTGTTCTGAGCACAACACTTTTTCTCCTTGCTATTAATGATTTGGCCTCTAGTCTTCCATCAATATTTGGTCATCACTCTATGTTGATGACTTCGCTATTGCCTGTGCAGGCGCTGACTGTCACCTCCTTACAGTTTCTCTCCAGCATGCAGTCGACCGTGTTTCCAATTGGGCCACCACACATGGGTTTAAATTTTCCAGCACTAAAACCCACCAAATCACTTTCACTAGACGCTCTGTCATCTCTGATCATCCTTTGTACCTCTATGGCTCACGTATCCCTGAACGTGATACAGTCAAGTTTCTGGGCCTCCTCTTTGATCGTAGGTTATCCTGGAAACCTCACATTAACCTCTCTGAAGGCAACTTGTCACAGCCGGCTGAACCTTCTTAAAACCCTTGCTCATCTTTCGTGGGGAGCTGATCGTCGAACCCTCCTTCACCTACATTCCACCCTTATTTTATCGAAACTTGATTATGGTGACCAGATCTATTCAGCGGCATCTCCTGCTACTCTCTCTAGCCTTAACCACCATTCATCACCAAGGATTACGTTATGCCTTGGTGCTTTTCGCTCTTTCCCCTGTCGAAAGCCTCTATGCAGAAGCGAACGTTCCATTCCTTATCCGATCGCCGTGATGCCCATTGCCTGCGCTACTATGTACGCTCTCATGATCTCCGCAATCCTTCCATTTATAGAATGGTCACTGATATTAGTAGACATTCTTTATTTGTTCGCCGCCCCTGCTTACTCCGTCCCTTCTCTCTTCGCCTTCATTCGCTCTGTCTTCTCTTCAACTACCACCTTTCTATGTTACATGTAGCATCACACTTTTCCCTACCCCCCTGGGAAGTTCCAGCTGTTCGAGTCTGTTCTTTCTCCCTCCCTTGCTCGAAAGCCCAACTGTCTACGGTCGCTTCCCGCTCTCTTTTTCTTGACCACTTTCACTCTCATTCTCATGCCATTGCTGTGTACACAGATGGCTCTAAGTCTTCTGACGGCGTAGGATTCGCAGCAGTGTTTCCGGACAGCGTCGTACAAGGGCATTTACTATCTTCAGCTAGTATTTTTACTGCTGAATTATATGCCATCCTTACAGCACTTATCCGTATTGCATCTATGCCTGTGTCATCATTTGTGGTTGTCTCAGACTCCCTTAGTGCTTTACAGGCTATAAAAAAAATTTGATACACCTCACCCCTTAGTCCTCCGTATCCAACTTTGGCTACGCCGCATCTTTACTAAGCATAAAGATATTGTTTTTTGTTGGGTCCCTGGTCATGTTGACGTACAGGGCAATGAACAGGCAGACACTGCTGCGCGGTCAGCAGTACATGACCTACCAGTTTCTTATAGAGGTATTCCATGTACGGACTATTTTGCTGTAATATCTTCCCACCTTCACACCCGTTGGCAACAACGTTGGTCTACTATGCTCGGCAACAAACTTCAGTCTATTAAACCGAGTATAGGTTACTGGCCGTCTTCTTATCACCAGTGTCGAGGTTGGGAGACTACTCTCTCCCGTCTTCGCATTGGCCATACTCGTCTTACTCATGGATATCTCATGGAGAGGCGTCTTGCTCCTCTCTGTGAGAATTGCCAAGCTCCATTATCAGTCAGCCACATTCTGTTGGACTGCCCACTTTATCAACGAGCACGCAGAATTTACCTCTGTCGTCGTCTTCCGCCCCGCTGCTCTCTCTTTACCTTCCCTTCTCGCTGATGGACCCACCTTTCATCCGGACTCTCTCATTGACTTTTTGACAACGACTGACTTACTCCACAAATTTTGATACTTTCAGCCCTTTCTACTTGTATCTCTTGCTACCCTCTACCCCCGTACTATCCCCTGCCCCGCTGTTTTCTGTAACCTGCTGATCATCCCCCCTCCCTTCTGCCATCCAATTCCCTTGCTTCCTTCCCTACCCTGCAGCGCTGTATAGCCCTTGTGGCTTAGCGCTTCTTTTTGATTATAATAATAATAATACACGTTTTCTCTAAAGTAGAAACTCTCAAAGAAAATTAGAACACTCGTAGGGGAAACTTGCTAATATGACTGAAATATCTAAAATAAGTATATATTCATGTACAGGTACCCAAATAGTTACATAGATTATCAAACATAGCAGCATATGTGTAAATAACCTGGGATAACCCATAAAAGTCAGTGACTTATTTCCATTGGGGTACTTTAGGTTCTTGTTTGCATATTGGTGAATAAAAAAGTTAGATTTTATTGAAATTATTAATCTGAAGAACGCAGATGAAGTTTTTGCTCAGATTATTAACCCAGCGAGTTAGAAGCCCATTAGATTATCTTACTTCCACTGTGGAGGGGGAAGGGATCCTTTTGTGGAAAATACTGTATATTTTCCGGAAATACGGTAATTTATAGGTAAATAGATGCCCTATATTGTATTTTTAAAAGAAGTATGTTATCGAAAATGGGAAACTGGACCTGCGCCTGCGCAGACGGAGTCGCCATTTTGTTTGAATTTGTATTAGAACGTTGGTGAAATGGGAAGAATTTTTCGTGCTCTAGAGGTTAAAATTGGGCTGACACCTCTCAAATAGGAGGTGAAATTGGTGGATATGCATTCCTGCATAACTTGAGATATCAGGCGACAGGACAGGACAACTCCAGGAACCTCAGATAAGCTGTCTAATTTATGTTTAATTTCTGGCCAGTAAAATTTTCATAAATGTAGGCAAAAGGGGGGGCCCTGTACATGACACATTAATCTTCAGTCAAATTGGTGAGTGTTATGATTAAGATATTCTCTGTTATGTATGTGTATCTATAATCATTTATTATTTTTAATATACAGTCCACAAATTTATATATTTACCAGCATTCCTGGTGATGTATTTTTCATTTGTAATTAATAGGTCCAGAGCAACTTGTGGATATGACAGTGGTAGGTATCGAAGGGGGACATTTTTTGCGACCTAGGTGTCCCAAATTCCTACTTGTCTAATTGATAAATAATAATCTTTGTTATTTACTGGTATGTACATTATGAGTTACATCCAGATAAATGCAATTTTCCACACCTTTAATTCGTTTCCCCAGGATGCGACCCACACCAACGAACTAGCACCCAAGTGCTTACTGCTTGGTGAAAAGGGACAGCAGGGGTTAAAAATAAATAAACAAACAAACAAACATACCCATTGTTTTCACTTGTCCGAGGATCGAACTTTGGTTCCTCATTGTGAGCCGAGGAAATAAGTCACCGACTTAAGTCATTTTTATTCAGGTACAGGTACACACAAATACAATTTCATAATTTATCATACATAGCAGTATATATGTAGACTTTTACTAGGTTATACTATGTATGTTCTTGCGTACTGTATCTAAACAGCCTAGTGAGCCACGAACACCTAGAATGACCTCATGAAGCCAGTCTGGCATATAGTGTAATTCCTGTGTTTCCTTTAATGTTAAGATGCAATCAGGTTGGGAATGGTTATATTTGGCGGGGGGGGGGGGGTGAAATTGTCAAAAGTTTGAGCCTTCACAGGTATATAACTCTGGTATAACTGGGTGTATATGGTGTGTGATATTAGGTTGTCAGAACACTTTTGTCTGTTGTAATCATTTTTGTAAGGGTGAATTGGGATTTTGTGATTTACCCCTTTTGTGTACCTTAATATAATTTCCACCTTGTATTGTAATGTTTTAAATAAAATATAAAAAAAAAATACATTGGGCTCTTTTGATCATGTACAGTATATGACATATTTATTTTTATTAACAGTGATAAAAATCATTAAATATGCAACTGATTTTCATGTAAGTGATTAAATAAATCTTAATTCAGATTATTAACCTCGTAAGTTAAATGGCCAGGAAGAACAACTTTTCATTAGGCTCTTCTATAAAAATTTTAACATTTGCAGTAGTTTTATATAGTAAATTATATAGAATTTAACCAAGGATAGCCCACTGAAATTTTTTGGGGGGTTATCCTACGGGATGATAATCCAGAATCATTTGAAAATGTTAGAACAAGAAGCTTAGGAGAAGGTTAGTATGTAAATCTGTGAACACGAGCCAACCGAGATGATGTCTGCTTCTCTGTCTTCCTCTCATAGCTCTGTAAGCTACAACTACTAACAGAGCCTCTATTGTAGATGAATGGTTCAGAGAACCGACATGTTGAAGTAGACACATGTGCAACTCTTGGGTATCTTTATTGAGGAAACGTTTCGCCACACAGTGGCTTCATCAGTCCATACAAAGGAGAAACTTGAAGAACAGGAGGAGAATGAGGTAATCAGTCCCTCAACCTTGAGTCGATGTGGTCAGTCCATCAATCTTGAATAGATTGATGGATTGATCGACTCAAGGCTGAGGGACTGATTACCTCATTCTCCTGTTCTTCAAGTTTCTCCTTTGTATGGACTGATGAAGCCACTGTGTGGCGAAACGTTTCCTCAATAAAGATACCCAAGAGTTGCACATGTCTAATTCAAGAGCCTCTATTAGCAGTCGTCCGAGCTAGACTGGGGAAAGGGAGTCAAGGGTTCGATTCCCGACATTGGTAGAAATATTGGGCATGTTTCCTTACACCTGCTGTCCCTGTTTACCCAGCAGTAAGGAGATACCTTGTTATTGGACGACTGGTATAGGTTGCATCCTGGGGGAGAGGATTAAAGAACCCCAGTAGAAATAAGTCTTAGATGACAGCCAGACATGACTCGGTTATCCTGGGTTACTAACCCTCGAGCAATCCAATTAAAATTTCCTTCACAGTTGCTCTGTCAGCAATGTTGGCCAGTATGAGAACCTTGCAGTCAGCGGGACAACAGTTTACTCAGCACAAGCTGGATGTCGGAGAGGACAGGGATAGTGGTGGTGGTGGTGAGTGTAGGGGTGGTAGTGGTAAGTCGTGGGTGAGGGATGAGTGTGTGACCCGTACTACCAGCATGCCTATCCGCCAGTCCAACTTTTCTGTCCCCCCGCCTCCACCGCTGCCTACCTCTGCCCCACCGCCTCCATTCACGAGAACTCGACTCCAGACTCTGCCGGTGATCAGCCTTCCAAGTAGCCAGGCAAGCGCGCGCGCACACTTGTTACCTTGAGAGTTGGTGGTAAATAAGTCAGCTATTATTTAAAATTATTTATTGGGGGCTATATAAATTTGTAATATATATTTACCTAGAAAATTCATTAATATATTAAAACGCGAGATAATTATTTCACCATATCATAAGCCTTGATACTCCTGCCTTCAAACTGTGCCCTTGACGTAACATGAACGCTCTCACCCTGCAGGACTACAGTGAAGGCTACGATCAACCATCTACATGGAGGTGGACCAGTACGGCAGGTCTCCACTAGAGACTTACATACAGCTGGGTGAGGAACAGCATTCATTCGCCCTTAAACTAACATCCTCTATTTCCTCATTGTCTCAGACTTCTATATAATCATTTTTCTGTGCAATGTTTAATTTAAATCTTCATTTGTTTTCCTTGTTCTATCTTTATCGTCCTTCTGCTGCTTCAACATTCTAACGTTCTTATCCCTCTCAGGTTTCTCTCGTTTTTTTTTCTTTCTTTGTCATTTTGTATTTAGAAGATACTTTTCTTTCTCCTTAAGATAATCCTCACGGGAGATTCCCTGATGTAAGTAGGGGCTCTTGATCTATTAATTAAACTTGATCACCAATCACAAAGCTCAGAGGGAAAATTTTTAGGAATCCACCTTGATAAAAGTCTCAGATTTCAAACACGTGTACAACAAATTTCCAAGAAAATCTCCAAGACTGTAGGCATACTATCGAAGATAAGGTACTATGTTCCACAGTCAGCCCTCCTGGCCCTATATCACTCTTGTTTACCCCTATCTCGCCTGTGGAATTTGTGCATGGGGCTCAACAACAATAAACCATCTCAGACCATTAATTACCCAACAAAAGGCTGCAGTCAAAATAACAAACTCCCACTACAGGCAGCATACTCCACCAATATTCAAAACTCTAAACCTACTCACCATACAAAACATCCATACTTATTATTGTACCTACTACATACATAGAACACTTAATACGGATATAAACCCTCCCCTCAAACGTCTCCTTACCAACCTCAACAGAACACATGACCATAACACAAGGTGAGATTAAGACACATGTGCAACATCTGGGTATCTTTATTGTAGACGTTTCGCCATCCAGTGGCTTTATCAATACAAATTCTAGGACATAACTTGAAGACAGTAGAACTATGTACAGAAGATGAGGTAATCAGTCCCTCAACCTAGGAGTAGGTGCGAAGAGCACCATAGTCGTGGAGATTCTGAAGCAGAAGAAAGGATCCTGGCGCTTATATAGTAACGTCAGGTGTAGCAGACGAGGGCATATTCACTGGTAGGCGGGATTCCCCAGTGGAAGTAGGTCCTTCCCAAAGAGATGGGTTAGTTGTAGTAGTAGTTGTCGTAGTCGTGAAGGTTATGTACATGTCCTCAGAATTAAGATTCCATGATGTTGCAGTGTCTGAGGACATGTACATAACCTTCACGACTACGACAACTACTACTACAACTAACCCATCTCTTTGGGAAGGACCTACTTCCACTGGGGAATCCCGCCTACCAGTGAATTTGCCCTCGTCTGCTACACCTGACGTTACTATATAAGCGCCAGGATCCTTTCTTCTGCTTCAGATGCATTCTGCTCTTGACTCTTGCCTTGGCAGGTCATAGCAGCTCTCCTTACTTACTCTGTCTCCCTACGATCCCCGTTGGGGAGGGGAACCTTTACCAGCGTTGTCTTCACCTTGACTTGCACGATGAGCTACGCAAATCGTGTCAAGATCAAGCCAACAAGTGGTACCGTTGATGATTCAACGAAGATTGCTCTTGCAACTGCTGTTCAAGGAACACTGAAAGTTAAATTCAACACCATTTTGTCTCTGAAAGAAGCATTCATTGTTGTGTGTCACGATGATGCTGAAGCAGAGAAGCTACTCACTACAGATGCTACCACTACACTCACTGCTCAAGGGTTTACTGTTATGTCATCTCCTGCGCTCAAGGCCAGGAAATCAGTATTCCTCAAAAAACTGGACAAGATTCTGACGTCTCTATCACCTGCAGAACTCAAGACATCCATCGAGACTCAAAATACTTGGGCTACTGTTGACAGCATCACAAAAATCCCGAATGCATCGTCCATGCTCAAGGTTACCTTCACCGACGTTAACATGGCTGCCACTGCCCTGAACGAAGGTCTTGCTGTTTACTATTACTTCATCAGTCCAACTTACATCGAAGCAGAGAGATATCAGTACATCCAACACTGCTGGAACTGTTATTTTACCATCACACCACCAAAGCATGTCCAGTAAAAGACAAGAAGTTCTGCACTACATGTGGTAGTGAGGGACACACCTTCAGTTCCTGCACCATTGCTACTCCACCACAACCATCGTGCTTAAACTGTAAAAGTAACGACCACCATACACTGGCAGCAAAATGTCCTACACGAAAGGATATTGTGAAGAAAACACAAGAAGCAGCAAAGAAAAAACCTACTAGCAACACACCAACGTATGCAGCAATTGCAAAGATCCAAGCTAACACTACGAAATTACTTCAAGCAAACTACTCAGCCAGCCTCCACCATCATCACTCCTCCAGCTTGTGACGTAACCAAGATCCACTACTGTCTCATATACGCTCACATGCAGAATATGGCTGTACCTGGATCTTTTAACTCTACCATCAACGAGTTATTTGCACTAAATAATATGCCATCATTCATATTCCCAGCATCTCCACCTTCGGCAGAAATACTAAAATTCACCAAGGACTTAATCAACACCTCTACGCCTGCAGCTCCAACACCATCAACAACTAGTGACGTCACTCCAACAACGTCCAATGAGAAGTCTCCATCGCCTCCACTCCTAAACGAGACCGACCAATCAGAAGCCTTTCCACCAGAAACATCCTCTCATTCGTCCATTGAAGAAGAAGAAGAAGAAGAAGAAGAAGAAGAAGAAGATGAAGATGAAGAAGAAGTAGAAGCAGAAGAAGTTGAAGTGGAAAATGTACCTTCACCAGCAACAACACTACTAGTCAAAACACTTACTGCACCATTTGAAGAAGACGATTATCTTGATTGGCATGGAATATTTTTCTTTACCACAGAAAATTATCCTCAAGACATGGAGCCAGCTGAACTCAAATCTCACCTCATCAAAAAAACAGTCAAGTTTCTTGTAGATACCGAAGCTACTTGTGGACAAAAAGCTGCTAGAACTGAACTTGCAGACCTTATAAAGCATGCTGAAAACTTAATCAAAAACCCTCACTACCAACACTCGTTAACTCGTATCTTTAAACTTCCTCTCCAACGATTTAAACATATTAACAATGGAACATCACTCAGTTACTTAGAAAAAATGCAGAAAAAAACACCACAAGTCTAGATAACCACCAAGCCATTATGAAATGACCAATCAACGTTGAGCTCCTCCCTTGTCGCCTGCAGCCACCAATCACCATCAAGAAGCAGTAATCTTCCATCCAGCAAGTTGCAGTCAGCTCCTACAGAGTTCCTGTTGTCTCTACATCGTCTTTCGTCATTGTTATCCAGGCTTAGCAGTTGGGTTTAGTCCTGACTCTTCTCTCTTCGACTCAAGACATTCCTCTCACCGTCTATTCTTCGCACTGTCCCCACTTGCCCCTCGCCCCTCGTGGGCCCTTACCTGTGAGTCCGATCTGATCTGATCTGATCTGCTTCAGAATCTCCACGACTATGGTGCTCTTCGCACCTACTCCTAGGTTGAGGGACTGATTACCTCATCTTCTGTACATAGTTCTACTGTCTTCAAGTTATGTCCTAGAATTTGTATTGATAAAGCCACTGGATGGCGAAACGTCTACAATAAAGATACCCAGATGTTGCACATGTGTCTTAATCTCATTTTGTCGGTATTGTATACCATTCGTACACCATAACACAAGACAGAGATCACTCTTTGATGTTCCTCGTGTCCATCTCACACTATGTAACAACTCAATGCACATAAAAGGCCCAAAAATCTGGAATTCATTACCTGTGAATATAAAAGAAATACTGTCTGTTTATCAATTTAAGACTCGTCTTAAGAACCACTTACTCACCCACAACTAAATAAATACTGAATTACTGTATCTCATAAATGTATAACCTGTGACCCTATCAAACTATGTATTTTTAATTACATAACCTAACAGACTACTCCATTCTCTTGAATGCACAGTAACTCGTCAAATGACCATATGACCTGTCTCTGAATTACTCATTTGTGCTTCATGTTATAATTTGTTTACTGTAATTTTACCACTGAATATATCATTGCTTAGTTAATCTTAAGTTAATTTTAAGCCTGCCCATAATGCTCAGCATACAAGGGTCTTTTGGCATATACACCCAACCACTGTATTTCTTTGTATAACTATGTATCATGTCCAAATTAATAATAAATAAATAAATTGCCTCCAAGGCGCTGTATGAACCTGATATACATCATCTTGACAGTTTTATTGTTCTCTTGGCAGTTTTGTTATGTTGAGATATAGAACTTTTAGTGGCTACGTTTTGTCCACGCGTAGAACTATTAAATTAGAACATACTGATCATCTGTTTGACTTGATATTGTCCACTGTCTGGGTGTTACTACTACTACAACTGCTTAAAATGTATGCATTTAGAAGACAGTATATTGTGTTGTCTACATAATCCAGATTATTACTCCCTCATATGTTTGTAATTCTTACACGACAGAGGATATTAACGGTAAGGAAGGTGGGAAGGAGAGGTCATCTCCGCTTGCTACTACTCCCTCAGCACCACCATTTCCAACACAGGCAGCATACACCAAGGATCACATCTGCTGCCCCTCCAACTCGCCCAGCTGTGTGTGGACAAGCTGTTCCTGCCTTTCGCCTACTTCTAAGGCCCTCTCCAACTGCAACGCTCCCTCAAAGGCCATAGTCAACTACATCAACGTCTCTGTCAACCACCTGTCCATCTCGTCTCGGGGTAGCAGCATGTCATCTAACACTGGCGGCGTCTCTCCCTCACCTAGACACACTCCTGTCAACCTCTGTCCCCACTTGGGCAGCACCCTGGGCTACTCCAGCGGCTGCACCAAACCCGCATCTGACATCCTTTCCCCCAAACTACAAAACATCGTAAGTACATTTTCAATTTGAAACAAAATTTTATGGCGAATAGTAATAAAAATTTGGTAAATAACTGTGTGTATGTACATGTACAGGCATGCATGAATATGTACATGGATATGTGCAACTATAGCTCACTTGTCAACTAATTTTATGCCATTTTCCCTGTGCACTTCCCATTATTAAGATCCTACTCTAGAAGACAGTCTAGGTGTGATTTTATGTGCATTTTTGAACATTTGTGGGATTTCTGCATTTAAGTGTTTCTTGAGGAGACTAGATGATGGAAATCCAGTCAAAGCGACGCCCATGTCTGGCCCGCGAGTGGTACAGGCATCAGTAAGCAGATTAATAATGTGTTGTGTCGTCAGCAGCAACAACAGCAGCGGCAGCCAGAGACACCGAGCAATCTGACAACACCCAGCTTAAAGCCACTAGTCACTGATACCACCTTCAGTAGTTGCGAGAGTGTCTTCACTCAGGGTAAGTCACCAAAATAAATCTACCATCATGCTAGTCTTCCTTTATTTCGCTGGTATATGTAACAAAGCATGAGAAATTCATACTTATATACTTGGCTCTAATATCACAACCCTTCATGAGGTGTGTGTGTGTGTGTGTGTGTGTGTGTGTGTGTGTGTGTGTGTGTGTGTGTGTGTACTCGCCTATTTGTGGTTGCAGGGGTCGAGTCATAGCTCCTGGCCCCGCCTCTTCACTGATCGCTACTAGGTCCTCTCTCTCCCTGCTCCATGAGCTTTATCATACCTCGTCTTAAAACTATGTATGGTTCCCGCCTCCACTACGTCACTTTCTAGGCTATTCCACTTCCTGACTACTCTGAAGAAATACTTCCTAACATCCCTTTAATTCATCTGGGTCTTCGACTTCCAATTGTGACCTCTTGTTTCTGTCTCCCATCTCTGAAGCATCCGGTCTTTGTCCACCTTGTCTATTCCGCGCAGTATTTTATATGTCCTTATCATTTCTCCCTTGACCCTCCTCTGTGTGTGTGTGTGTGTGTGTGTGTGTGTGTGTGTGTGTGTGTGTGTGTGTTGTGTGTGTGTGTGTGTGTGTGTGTGTGTGTGTGACACACATCACCTTCTCGTATACCCATCAAACCTATATATAATTCTACCTAAAGTTTTTGCCACAATGACGCTACTTAGGAGTTTGTTCCACTCGTCTACAACTCTTACCAAACCAGTACTTCTTAATGCACTTTCTAAATCTAAATTTGTGTAACTTTAATCCATAGCCATGAGTCTTGTCTTCGTTAGATATTTTCAGCGTTATTTGTGTCTCATTTATTTTGGTTTACTATTTATGCAGTCATATCTTCCTTAATTATACGCCTTTCCTGAGTGCAAATTCAGTATCTCAGCCTATTTTTATAGGAAAGGCACCGGATACTTGGGATCGGCTTCATCAGACTGCATATTTTCCAGTAGATTTATGTTCATTCTTTAAAATGGAGACCGAGGCCGACAACATAATCTAAATGAGGCTTTACCAGAAATGTAAAGTATAACCTTAGGTCTACTATTATATATTTTTTTATATGAAGCTTTAAATTTCTCTTAACAAGAACTTTTTTTCCGTCAGTTTGTCTAAGCTCTTCATTATTTAGCCTACAAGTAGTTATTTTCTTTTTCAAGGATTAGAAACATACTGTGAATAAGGTGTGTGTGTGTGTGTGTGTCTATGACTAATCGGTTAATTATTCAATTACGTCATTAGCTGAATCCGTTCTAAGAACCTGCCTTCCCATACCTGGATAATCTAGGATTACCTCTACACAGGGCAGTGTGTGTTAGTTTAATAGTATCCTGGAAGGCCTTTCCATCAACATTAACATGCATATAAATGCTCATTCAACAGTATTATTAACAAGCGCTTACCATCTTGCTACTTCTACTTACACTGAGGTCACACTACACTTACATGTACAAGCATATATATAGTTACACACACCCTTCTGCTAGTTCGTGTTCTTGTTTATTTCGTCTTATCTCCATGGGGAAGTGAAACAGAATTCCTCCGCAAGCCATGTGTGTCGTAAGAGGCGACTTAAATGCCGGGAGCAAGGGGCTAGTAACCCCTTCACCTGTATACATTACTAAATTTAAAAAAAAACTTTCATTTGTCCTTTTAGGTCACCTTGCTTCGGTGGGATATGACCGGTTTGTTGTTAAAAAATTGCATAACTTTAGGAAAAACAAGAAGAGCTTCGTCAATTACATGCAAAAAGTTTTCTATTCGCAAAGTAGAGTTTAGTTTATTGGTAATTTTTTCAGTTACCTGAATATAATACTGGTTTAAAATTAAGTAAAAATATGTAACGTGCTCCCCAATTTCTTGCAGGGGAGAACAGCCTGAATGAGGGCATACGATGTGCATGTGGGTCAACACACATGCCTCAGACTCGACGGGGGCTGTCACCTACCATTGCTTTCCAGGATCACTTATCCAAGTCCTGTGGGGATATGTCTCCTGATGCACCCATTGAACAGGTGCGTACTCTTCCCATTAGGTAATGTATGGCACTATCATCCACTTCATCTGAAGAATTCGTCAGTGTGTCAATCCAGAGGGAAGATGGTTGTACACTCCATTCCTATCCAGCTTCAGAGGTGCTGACATAGGTAGATGATCCGTATTGTTTTTATGTATACATAACTGCACCAGTGAAATAAACCCTTGCCTGGTAAAATGTGCTGTAATATGAGAAGGAAAAATTTTGAGCCAACCATTAGAAGAGTTTTCTTTGAGGTTATTTCATGTACTTCTCCCTAGCTCTGGATTCTCATACTTTACGTATGTGGTGGATGCTGACGTTATTTGATTAGAGTTGACCAGAAGTCTAATACTATTTTTGTAAGTTTTAGCTTTAGTCACCCAGATGTCTGGGTGAAAGAACAGTTCGAGTCCCCGTCCATTCTGTTTATTCATTGGCAAGTTGTACACTATGAATATGAATAAATAATAATGGGATAGACAGGATAGTGATAAATATTTAGGCGAGATGTAATAGCTTATCCTTACCAACAGAAACCTATGTTGCACGAGCTGGTACGCTCTGAACCCAGCCTTCCTAGGGACCACCAGTCTCCAGGCTTGGTTGGACCAGTCTTGCGTCGCGTCTCCCAGATGTTCCTCGGCTCCTCGCCCTTTCTCTGGCCCTCTCCAGAGACTAAGAAACCTGACCTTAAGAAAACTAAGCCTGGAAAATCCTCAGAGGGCAAAGGATCGAGTGGTGGGGTGACAGGTAGCAAGACTGGGGATGATGCCAGGTGTTGGGGAGACAAAATGATCCTTAGTGGGAATCAGTCACCAAGTTGTGAAGCCTCATCCTCATTTTTAAATCCATTTAGGTGAGTAACTTTTAATCCTTCAGTTTTGCAAGTATGTGTTAAATTATTTTGTTCCATCTTGACATGTAAATGTTTTCTGGCATCAATTTGTTAAACATCAGTTTGGATTGAAATGATAGTGCTAATCTTGCGGAAATATTAGAAGTTTCCTAGCACAGATATCGTGAAAATTATTATTATGAGCAAATTACCTGCAAGTAATTTGGTTAAGGTAAGTGGGACTTAAATCACGGTAGGTCACTGAACTGCCACTCCTTCAACTGCCCACTTCTTCACCATTCACAAAAAGATAGACCTGACATTAAATTATTAATTATATTATTATAACCAGTTACTCTGGTATTTAAAGTTATGTGGACTGTACGTTATTTTGGTTTACTTTCTGGGTACACAATATTCATATTAACACTTACCATTTAATTGCTGTAGATAGATCACACCACAACACCTGCCTAACACCTAGACCCTACACTGGCCAGCTGAGATCTAAATGCAAGGACTAATGGTGTACTTCCCTGTGAGTGACGTTTGCATCCCATCTTCCACCATCCACGTGTAATCCTTGAGGTCCTGCAAGTTTCTTGTCCCAGTTCTTCAGCTGGGGACATGAACATGAGTTCCTATTAGAAATTTGGGCCAAAATGCTCCAAACTGGCCACAAAAAATGCCAAATTACACTGCACAATCAAGTCCAGTGCATATTTAATTTAATATGGCATCCCCCCCTCTCTTGAAAATTTTCAGAAGGGTCAAATCAGCATCACTTTTTATTACACACTTATTGTATTCAAATTTATACTTACTGAATTTAGGAAAATCCAAAATTTTCCACACTGAGGCCAGGAGATGGTCATTTATAAAAGACTTAAATTGCTTCATATTCACATATAGTTTATTTAGGCATGATACATAGTTTTACAAGGAATTATAGCACTAGTTGGGTGAACATGCCAAAAGCCCTTTGTATGCAAAGCATTATGGGCAGGCTTAAACTTAACTTAAAATTAACAAGCAGTGAACAATATGAAGTACAATTGAGTGTTTGAAACAATGAAATTTAAACATTTCGATATTGAAGCATTATAGTTTTACAAATTTGTAGCATTACAATGTATAACAAACAAGATGATCAAATTACTATATGTTGTCTTGAAGTTTTAAGGTTTAAGTAATTGAGTGTTGATTATTTAGTCCTGGGTGAGTAAGTGGCTTTTTAAGAGTTAAGTTGATTTTCAGACGATTCCAGCCAATACTAGCTTGAGTGGCTGTTCTCCTAGTTGGTCTTAATACAATTTCTTCCTGTTGAATTCCTTCGTCGGTGCTATCTTCAATTTCACTTGTCACTTTCCCTTAGATTATCATTTACATATGGTTGAACACCATTTAATTCCAAAGGAATTAATTTATTAATGGTACGCAAACTTTCCTGACCACGGCACAACCCCTTGACATTCCTGACAACATTTTGTACATCTGGGTATAATGTTAATACCTTGCCCAGAGGCCACAATGTTTGATGTTGCTAAGTATCAATTAATACAATGTCACCTAGTTGAATGTTCTGTTGATTTACAGCCTTGAAATGCTGATTTACAGTTCATGTTTACCTGGAGAGAGTTCCGGGGGTCAACGCCCCCGCGGCCCGGTCTGTGACCAGGCCTCCTGGTGGATCAGAGCCTGATCAACCAGGCTGTTACTGCTGGCTGCACGCAAACCAACGTATGAGCCACAGCCCGGTTGGTCAGGAACCGACTTTAGGTGCTTGTCCAGTGCCAGCTTGAAGACTGCCAGGGGTCTGTTGGTAATCCCCCTTATGTATGCTGGGAGGCAGTTGAACAGTCTCGGGCCCCTGACACTTATTGTATGGTCTCTTAACGTGCTAGTGACACCCCTGCTTTTCATTGGGGGGATGTTGCATCGTCTGCCAAGTCTTTTGCTTTCATAGTGAGTGATTTTCGTGTGCAAGTTCGGTACTAGTCCCTCTAGGATTTTCCAGGTGTATATAATCATGTATCTCTCCCGCCTGTGTTCCAGGGAATACAGGTTCAGGAACCTCGAGCGCTCCCAGTAATTGAGGTGTTTTATCTTCGTTATGTGCGCCGTGAAGGTTCTCTGTACATTTTCTAGGTCAGAAATTTCACCTGCCTTGAAAGGTGCTGTTAGTATGCAGCAATATTCCAGTCTATATAGAACAAGTGACCTGAAGAGTGTCATCATGGTCTTGGCATCCCTAGTTTTGAAGGTTCTCATTATCCATCCTGTCATTTTTCTAGCAGATGCGATTGATACAATGTTATGGTCCTTGAAGGTGAGATCCTCCGACATGATCACTCCCAGGTCTTTGACGTTGGTGTTTCGCTCTATTTTGTGGCCAGAATTTGTTTTGTACTCTGACGAAGATTTAATTTCCTCCTGTTTACCATATCTGAGTAATTGAAATTTCTCACGTTGAACTTCATATTGTCTTCTGCGGCCCACTGAAAGATTTGGTTGATGTCCGCCTGGAGCCTTGCAGTGTCTGCAATGGAAGACACTGTCATGCAGATTCGGGTGTCATCTGCAAAGAAAGACACGGTGCTGTGGCTGACATCCTTGTCTATGTCAGATATGAGGATGAGGAACAAGATGGGAGCGAGTACTGTGCCTTGTGGAACAGCTTTTCATCGTAGCTGCCTCGGACTTTACTCTGTTGACTACTACTCTCTGTGTTCTGTTAGTGAGGAAATTTTAGATCCATCGATCGACTTTTCCTGTTATTCCTTTAGCACGCATTTTGTGCGCTATTACGCCATGGTCACACTTGTCGAAGGCTTTTGTAAAGTCTGTATATATTACATCTGCATTCTTTTTGTCTTCTAGTGCATCTAGGACCTTGTTGTAGTGATCCAATAGTTGAGACAGACAGGAGCGACCTGTTCTAAACCCATGTTGCCCTGGGTTGTGTAACTGATGGGTTTCTAGATGGGTGGTGATCTTGCTTCTTAGGACCCTTTCAAAGATTTTTATGATATGGGATGTTAGTGCTATCGGTCTGTAGTTCTTTGCTGTTGGTTTAATGCCCCCTTTGTGGAGTGGGACTATGTCTGTTGTTTTTAGTAACTGTGGGACGACCCCCGTGTCCATGCTCCCTCTCCATAGGATGGTAAAGGCTCGTGATAGGGGCTTCTTGCAGTTCTTGATGAACACTGAGTTCTATGAGTCTGGCCCTGGGGCAGAGTGCATGGGCCTGTCATTTATCACCTGTTCAAAGTCATTTGGCGTCAGGATAACATCAGATAGGCTTGTGTTAACCAAATTCTGTGGCTCTCATAAAAAATTCATTTTGATCTTCGACTCTGTCTGGTTAGCAGCTTGCTAAAAACTGAGTCATATTGGGACTTGAGTAGCTCACTCATTTCCTTGCTGTCATCTGTGTAGGACCCATCTTGTTTAAGTATGGGCCCAATACTGGACGTTGTTCTCGACTTTGATTTGGCATAGGAGAAGAAATACTTTGGGTTTCTTTCGATTTCATTTATGGCTTTTAGTTCTTCCCACGATTCCTGACTCCTATAAGATTCCTTTAGCTTAAGTTCGATGCTTGCTATTTCTCTGACCAGTGTCTCCCTACGCATTTCAGATATATTGACCTCTTTTAGCCGCTCTGTTATTCTTTTCCATCGCCTGTAAAGGGAGCGCCTGTCTCTTTCTATTTTACATCTACTCCTCCTTTTTCTTAGAGGAATAAGCCTTGTGCATACATCGAGTGTCACCAAGTTAATCTGTTCTAGGCATAAGTTGGGGTCTGTGTTGCTTAGTATATCTTCCCAGCTTATATCGGTGAGGACTTGGTTTACTTGGTCCCACTTTGTTTTTGTTATTGAAGTTGAATTTGGTGAATGCTCCATCGTGACTAATCTCATTATGTCGGTCTGGGGCTCCGCGCATACATGTCTGAACCTCAATTATGTTGTGATCTGAGTATATTGTTTTTGATATGGTGACATTTCTTATCAGATCATCATTGTTAGTGAAGATGAGGTCTAGTGTATTCTCCAGTCTAGTAGGCTCTATTATTTGCTGGTTTAAATTGAATTTTGTGCAGAGATTTAAAAGCTCGTGTGAGTGTGAGGTTTCATCAGAGCTGCCTCCTGGTGTTATTACTGCAACAATATTATTTGCTATATTCCTCCATTTTAGGTGCCTTAAGTTGAAATCCCCCAGGAGCAAGATGTTGGGTGCACATATTGGACCAATGATTAATTACAGTGGACCCCCGTCTAACATTATTAATCCGCTTCTGAGAGCTCATCTTTGGCCGATATTATCGTTAGCGGAATTAATTTCCCCCAATAAGAAATAATGGAAATCAAATTAATCTGTTCCTGACACCCCAAAGTATGAAAAAAAAATTTTACCACGTGAAATATTAATTTTAATACACACAAACTGAAAAAGACATGCACAGTTACTACTCTACTAAGTTAAGAATACATGACATTTACCTTTATTGAAGATCTGGTGATGATTGATGGGATGGGAGGAGGGGAGATTGTGGAAGTTATTGTTTAGAAGGAGAATCCCCTTCCATTAGGACTTGAGGTAGCAAGTCCTTTTTTGGGGTTAACTTCCCTTCTTCTTTTAATGCCACTAGGACCAGCTTGAGTCACTGGACCTCTGTCGCACAACAAATCTGTCCACAGAGGTCTGTACCTGCCGTTTCTTTAAGATTTGCCTAAAATGGGCCACAACATTGAAACAGGTTGCCAACATGGCTTGCAGTAGCTGTGTTAGGGTGACTTTCATCCATAAAGGTTTTGCAGTTCAACCCCCCTTTGCACACATTTCTTTAATCTTTGAAGTAGGATAATTCTCCCCCTTTTTTACCACAGGGTTGGCACTAAAAAGCTTTCTTGGGCCCATGGTGACTTATTTTGCAGTTACAAGCACAAAAAACACTGGGAAAGGTGAAATGTACCGAATGTATGCGGGGATGTGACCGCACTGGCTGGCTTGTAAACACTGGACCCATGGGGCAGCTAAAGGCCACATGTGGGACATGTCCCAGCGAATCACGTTGGGCGAGTTTTGAGTTTTTTATCGTTAGGCGGTGCAAAATTTTTGCATTCAAATGCTTCGTAAGGCAGATTTAACGTTATGCGATGCGTTTGTTAGGCTGGGGATCCACTGTACTTTATTTGTATTAAATTTATTACTTAACAATTCTACATTATTATAATCTTCTCAATTTCTCCAGGTTTATCTTTTATAAATAGATGCAGCTTCAAATTTTGTCCACATTTTAAGTGAAAAGGGTCTTAATATATCTACATCTGGAGTATCGCTAATATATGAGAGAGGGGACAATTTTTATACGATTTCCGCCTCACTAATACAGTACAGAATTCCTTCAAGCTAATTCTTTTCCTGTGAAGCATCTTCTGTAGAAACTTTTACTGTACGTAACAAATTTCCAGACACATTCTCACTGGGTTAACAGATTGTACATCATTATTCTCATTTAATTCCATCAAATTTTGGGGGCACTCGTTACAAAACTAGTGGCATCTGAATTATTAATCTTGTACAGGATCTCCTAGCAGCAAATTTCTGATACAGCTGTATAAACTGTTCTGCAGACAAGTCCTGGGCCACTTCTAAATGAACGCCCTAGTAGGTGAAAGTAAATATACTACATTTTTAAAGGAACACCATCTGATTACCTGTTAAAATAACTGGACCACTGTAGTGGTCCAGTTATGGATGTCAGCATGGATGACAGGAAATATTTGACGGGTTTTTAAGCATCGCTTTTATTCCTGAAGTAAAGTTTTACCTGCACAGCAAGAACTTTGCATTCAAGCTCTTTTCATTCTTGATAATTCTCGTACTCCTCCACAAGCTTTGCTGGATGTGACGCCACAATGTAAAAGTTGTATTTTTCCCTCCAACTACAACATCCCTAATTCAACTACTGGATCAGGGAGTTAAGTCATTTAAATGTAACTACACAAAAAAAAAAAAGTTATGAAAAAACTAGTTGCATCAATGGACTCTTGACTCCAACTTGGCAGTACCAAGCTTCTGGAATAAATTTAACATTGCTTATGCCATCTATGCTAAAATTTGCATGGAATGAAGTGCCCCAATCAACATTAAATGCAGGCTGGGGAAAGTCATGGCCTTCTGTAGTTAATTCTTTGACTGGTTTCCCTTGCTTGAGAATCAGGTTCAGGAAATTGTTCACCCTGGTAAGGAATTACCGGGTGATGGGTCTGAAGATATGAATGAAGATGTGAATGAGCTCTTTGATGATCATGAAGACAGGAGTCCAGGGGAAAAATGTTGGCAGAACTCGATGCACAGATAAAAGGGGAGGCAGATAACAGAAGACGATGAAGAACCTGAAGAAAAATAGTTAACCCCTAGCATTTATGTGAGTAGTTCCATAATATTGGAAAGTTACAGACTTCTTTCACTGAAGAGGACCTTTGATAAATCTAAAAAGCAGTGTTTTGAAATGGGGTCCAGACCAGCTGATGAGCCTTACCATCAGCTGTATAATGTACTGCAGGGAAAAAAAAAGCCCAGAGATCCATTACATAATTTATGCACACTCCAATACAACCATCGGATTTTAAAGTACCAAAAACCTCTACCATCCACTTCTGCCGACAACCATCCACCCAGCCCAGTAGGTCCACAACATGCATATCCACTCTTTACAATCATCCACAAACACCATTACCCACAATTTAAGGGTAAATACTATTATTTCTATTGCATTTGAGCCCTTTAAGCAGTATTATTTCATGACAATGAACTAAAATTACATTGCACTTTATTTTTTTTTAAGATCTTATGGTCTAAAAAAGGGGGTTTTTTGGCTTTTTGGGGGCTCCCAGGAAGTAACCCTTTTTTTACCCTAAGTTTTTTATTTTCATCAAACACAGTTTTCCCTAAAGCGGCCATTTTCAGGAACGTAACTACCATGTTAAATGACAGTCTACTGTATTTAAAATTTTGTGTTTGCCAGTTTTTCATTTCTCACATTAAATTTTTAGCCTTTTTTAGTAGCTTTTCAAAGTGCAAGCATTTGGGTTAATATTGTGAATTTCTAACAAAAACATTTAAAAATTATCCTGATGTAAATATAAAAAATTAGCCACAGGTTGTCTCAACTTTCTGATTAAATTAAACAGAAGGAAGTAAATCACGATATAAAATCTTTGTAGGGGTCAGAAGTCAACTGACAAATACTTCATATCTCAAATACGGAAGAATATTAGGTTTAACGAGTAACTGGTTTCATGTTTTAGTATTAATGAGTGTCTTTTCATTGGTATTCTCTTTTTTATTTTGGTAATTTTTCTTAATACATTTACTCTGATTATACATGTGATTTTCACTTGTACATAGTATTAAAAAAAGTTACATGTATAGTTTTTAGGTCTGTTTTTTTCCTAAGATATATTTTAAAGCATGTTTAAAAGAGTATATTTTTATTGTTTATTTTTATAATGATTTTTATAAAATGGCATATAAATATATCATTCCCAAAGATGTGAGATTAGATTTTTTAAACTCAGAGTTGTTAAGCTTCAATAATTATTATACCAGTGGTTTTTTAGAACTGACAAGTAAATGAATTAAAACTAAGACTTAGATATCTTCATTGTTAAGATATCTCCTCGATAAAGATACCCTAGTAAATTTAAACTTCATTTAAATTTCAATAAGCTCTCTGCTCTTCATATTTTATATATTTTGGTTATTGTCCCAAATTCATACTTTTCTTTGGTGATCTCTCGCTGTATTTCCAGGTATAACCTTCTACAGAGTAACAATACAGACTGTGTAAGTCTGAACGGCTGGCCCGAGTCTGTGAAAACTGAGGCTCCTCACAGCCTCGACTGCAGCCAAACCAAGTAAGGAGCACAGTAGTCACTGATAACTGTGATGAGACTTCCAGAGATAACTTCCTGCTGCTTGAAAATAACCATCATAATACATTAAAATATATTGTCCACACATCAGATGATGGACGCAGCCTCTTATTTTCTTAAGTGACTAATGTTAAGGAAAAAGTGGGTCTTTAAGGTTCACTAAAAATGCCTTCCCAGCTAGTGACTCAAAAAAGTATAGAGTTAAGAAAAAAAAGTGTAAAATACTGTAGGTTCTTTCTCTCAAAGAAAAAGTTTAATAATTTTCAAGAAAGTTGTTAGAGAAAGATTTGCAAAATATTGGAAAAATACAGTATTTGTAAACTTTTATGTTTTAAAGATGAATTGAAAAGAAACTGAGAAAGTTATTGGTGGCTGGCTTAAACATTTATTTAAAAATCTTTGATTGTTGTATATACCGAGTTTTAAAAAGTGGAGAGAACTCCAATTTGATTATGTATTTTATAATATATTAGTAAACACTATTTAAATGCTCAATTTTTTTTTACCAGATTCATTTGTGCATCATCCAAGACCACAGAGAAATGCAGCAAAATTAAAAGGGAAAACTCAAAATCATTATTAGCACCATTGTTAAAATTATTAGCAAGAATACTAAAGTCATACCTCGTCAGGATGGACACGAAGTTTTTAAGATGCCCAGCAATCAGTAGGGTTTGTATATTAGAAAAACTTTTTGGGTTTTGGGACCTTGGTCACTACAAGTGTGCATAAGGGTAAATAATAATATAGTAAAGACTCTTGATAAAGTTTACTGCAGCAGACATCCCACCATTGTGGTGTGGAAGAACTTTGGTTTTTTGATTTGTGACAACTTGGTTTGCTATAACTGAGGGTTGTGAACAATGGTGGCTGAGAATTAGTGTTTCAGCAACATGTCCATCAGTATCCTCCTGAAGTACACATGTCTTTTTATTCATTAATTTTATTGTATATTTCTTTTCAATGATCACATGGGATTGTGTAGACACTGAAGTAGGGGTCCCCACAGCACCTGCTGTAGGAAACCCCCACAGATTTAGGGGTTCCCCCACCAACTTAATGATAAAAATTTTATAATCATTGCCTGATATACAACCCAAGCTCCCCTTAAGTCTCGCTTTAAACACTTCCTGTAACTCGGTTCCCCTCAAGGAAGGTTCCTTGATATTTGGCGAGGGGCTCTTGAATTTAAAGGGGAAAGGATCTGTGCTCCAGTTCCCCGATTAAACCTGAAAAGCCTTCCACATCCCCCATCCAGGCGCTGTATAATCCTCCGTGTTTAGCGCTTCCCCCCTTTATTATAAAATGTAACTCGGTAATTAGTTATGTTACTGTAACTACCATGACACACTGCCTTCACTTGTCGACTCATTACCTCTCTCAGCAGCACTCCATGACTTGTACGAGTTTAGAACATTGTTATTAAAATAGTGTGTATACCTGTCAAGGAGGAAGCCGTGACTGATGAAGGATTCTTTATACGAGGAATTGGATCATACTTTATTCCTATCGGGTATAGAACTTTTTATATGGAAAAGAATAACTGCTCACTTCAGTGGTGTTTCCCCCTTCCATGACTCCAGGTTGTCAATAACCAACTGGAAAAAAAAGGCAATTTTAAATGTGAACTTGTGACAGAATTTCATCAATAGTTAAAATTACTTCAGCTATTTTTTAATACAGTAATAAATGTATCACTGTATTCAAATTAATGAAACAGGATATCAAGGACAACAACATGAAAATTAATGAATAAAAATTTTAAATACTGAAATTTGTCCATAGCATTTTAGGGCTTTCAAAGGAGTATCTTGGTTCTCACGTATGAAATGGTTATACACAAAACATGAGTTTTAAAGGTGGAGAGGTAAGCCAGTGGGAAAGGGTTTGATCACATGACCAAAAACTCCAGCTTAGTCATATGATGACTAAGACCCACGTCAGGGAACACTTTCCCCGTTTCCTGACAAACCTTATACCTACCTGATGAATTCTTGAACCAAGAAATTAGGAAGTATCCCTCGCCTATGGATTAAGCAGGATTAATTCCTATTCTCTAGGGACTGTGCCCCTCAAGGAAGGTTCCTTGAGCTGGTGAGGGGCTCTTGATCTAGGAAACTGGATCTTGCTCCATTTCCTGGGGAAAACCTTCCATTCCCCCCCACAGGCGCTGTATAATACTACGGGTTAGCGTTTCCCCTTGATTATATAATCTAGGGACTGTATGACCCTTGTGTGTTTAGCACTCCCCACTCATTAATAACCATCACTTAATTGGGGACCTTTCCCCTCAAGGAAGGTTCCTTGATGTTGGGAGGGGCTCTTGATTTAGGGAATTGGATCTGTGCTCCATTCCCCGAATTAAGCCTGAATGGGCCCTTTTCCCCATCCCCCCCCCCCCCGGCGCTGTATAAACCCCGGGTTTAGCGCTTCCCCCTTGATTATAATAATAATTGGGGACCCTTCGAGGGAGCTTTGACGCCCGTGAGATGATCTTGATCCAAGGAACTAGATCTGGTGTTTACTACCTTGGCTAAACTTAACTCTCATTCCCCCAGGTTATATACAACCCCTGCAGGTTTAGCGCTTTCCCACGAATGTATAATTTCTGGATGTCTGCGATGGTAAATTTAATGTGGAAAATACACAAATGCTTTAAAATCCATGGAGATTTTATCTAATTTAAATGTCACTCAAAAGTACCAGTAATAATCCCATCCAGACATGTACCAGCAATTCTGTCGTGTGTCTCCTTCCTTCATGTTGGGGGGGGGGGGGGTCCTGTACTCCAGGGAAGGGCTCTTGTTCCAACTATTTGGAGTTGCCCTACCCTTTCTCTAACCATGATAACTTTCCCTTCACCTAACACACTCCCATGATCACACTTGTGATTACTTAGATCAAGCATAACTCCAATCTCCGATCAAAACTGTTTACCCCTCATTCCACAAGCACTGTACTGACCCTTCAGTGTTTACTGCTTCCCCAAACACGAGAACAGCCCACTTTACTTACATCTGAAGTGACGTCAGCTAATGTGAAGTCTAGCACTTGAGAGAAGAAATACAACTCATCCACCAGTGAAGACTTGATGTTCTCTGGTTTGATAAACCCGTGAGCCTCACCTGCGGAAAACCAAAAGAAACATATACTAGTAGAATGAGATAAACCCGTGTGTGTCTATCCCAGTGGTATTCTGATGACTGAAGAAAAAAAAAAATAGCTGCGGAATGAGGTTTTGTAAAGACATCGTTTGGCTCAGCATAGAGCTTCATCAGTTCACTATTATTCTCGACACAGCAAAATGTTTTCCTCGTTTAATAAAACTATTCAGCAACGAGTATCTTTTCCTCACAATACGTGTAATGGTACAAAATCAAGCCTCTGCCAGCTTACTGTTAAACACACATAATGAGTAACTACACACAGCAGTATTATTACATTTACAGGAAGATGTTCAATGCGTAGAGACACTATGTAGCCTGGGGGAATGGGAGGAAATCAGGCTCGAGCTGAGGAAGGGAGAGAACAAGCCGCTTAATTAGATAAAGTCCCACACCAGCATCAAGGAACCTCCTTTGAGGGGAAAACATGCTCAGCAGTAGACCAGACTCTGTCTCCAGACTGAACGAGGGTCGCTGGAGCTGCAACATACCTCTACTGTATATTAAAAAAAATTAAGGTTTACGTAAACACACATATTTATATATATATATAATATATATATATATATATATATATATATATATATAATATAATTGTATATATATAATATAGATGCAGCCATGAATATAATTTACAAATACTGAAGCGCTGTATAGTCCTTGTGGCTTAGCGCTTCTTTTTGATTATAATAATAATATAAATACTGAGAGAGAGCCTTTATAGTGAAGGGCTTTTGATCTACAGTATCAGTCTTGACAGTGAAAGAATTTTGATTTAAAATCTATACTTTCCTTTGCCAAAAATCTGACTGCCTTCCCTCCCCCAGCTAGAAAATGGGATCTGTGTTACAGTTCGCTGAATTGAGTTTGAATGTCTTCCATCCCCCCCTCCCCCAGGCGCTGTATAATCCCTACGGATTAAGCGTTCCCCTGTAATAATAATTCCTTCATCAGGCACTGGATAAGTCTGCTGGCTTGACCTCCATGGCCTGGAGCATAACATTACATTTTAGCCTGCTGACCCGGAATATGACATTACGTCTTAGCCTGCTGGCTCGACCTCCCTGGCCCGGAACATAACATTACGTCTTAGCCTGCTGGCTCGACCTCCCTGGCCCCGAACATAACATTACATCTTAGCCTGCTGACCCGGAACATAGCATTACGCCTTAGCCTGCTGACCCAGAACATAACATGAAGTCTCACCTTCAAACAGGATATATGCAGAAGGAAGACACTTGTTCTTCACAATATCATACATGTCCTTGAGTGACTGGAATCACAATCGCAAAAGAAAAAAAAAAGACAATAATGAATGTTAATTCACTGCTGAATGTCAATGAATTACCTGAAAGTGAAAGGCTCTAGAGCCAAGATACTGAGAGTTACCTGAATGCCTAACATTCCACAGGTGTTATATGACTCGTGGGTTTAGCGCTTCCCTATGAAAATAATTTAAAGTCCTAAATTCTTAATGAATGGCTAGAATAGCGAATATATTTCAATTCTTTAAATTTTCCCAAAGCCACCCCCTTTCTCACCTCGTGTCCCTTCAAGGGACTTCCTTGATGCTGGTCAGGGCTCTTGATCTAAGGAATTGGATCCGAGCTCCAGTCCCTGAACTAAGCCTGAATGGCAGCCTGGTATTAACCCTTGTGGGTTTAATGTTTAGTTTTGATTATAATAGTAATAATATTGACCTTCCATTCCCCATCGGAGCTGTATAATCCCTACGGTTTAGCGCTCCCCTGATAATTATGACTTACAAACTTTGCAAGTTCTTAAATACTTTTGTATTTCTAATATCTCTGCTCTATTTGCTTCGCTGTCATATTTAAAGGGTTTCGGGTTTAGACTTTTGGGGTATGTATGTGGTGTGTGCCTATTTTTGGTTTCAGGGGTCGAGTCTCTGCACCTGGTCCAACCGCTTGCCACTACCGATTTCGCTCGCTCCTGGTTGCGTGAGCCCTTTTATACCTATTCTAAAACTATGCATAATCCTGCCCTACCACTTCGCTATCTAGATCATTCCACTTCCCGGGAACTCTGAAAACTAAAGAAGTATTTCCAAAAATCTCCGCGACTCGCCTTTGTTTTTAACTTCCAGCTGTGACCCCGTGGCTGTATAGTCCTTGTGGCTTAGCGCTTCTTTTTTGATTATAATAATAATGTGACCCGTGTACTGAGACCAGCCTCTCGCCTCTGCTGCCCCCTATCAATTTTT